GATGAATAACCTAGACAAGAGAAGCTGGCAAGTTTTGTTTTGCAAAGAAGACAGAAGGAGCACACCAGGTTACAGGAATAGGGGACCGGAATTAACAATATTTTGAACAAAACCTGTGGGTAAAAATGAATGCACACTGCTGTAGCTTTCAGCATTTTATGCACTACTGATGAGATGCGCAGGGATGGGAAGAGCTGATTTACAGTTTGGACTAAAAAATTCTCCCCATCTGATTTCTTCCTTTTTGCTATCTACAACGATACCTATCAGACAGTGATGATGCCTCTTTGTCAAGACYCCTACTTGGCTTGGAGGGAAAAAAAAAAAAAAAGAAAGAAGTGTCTCAGAACCAAACAAAGTGTTTTTTTTTAAATAAAAGATTCAAACATCTTCCCAAAGCCTTCTGCAATGTTTTCAGGTACAAAACAGATGAAGTGCTCTCATTCATTTCTACCACACCTAAAAGAAAGGGCTTACAAAAAACCTAAGTGACAAGCCAAGGGGGGATGTGTCTTAACTGCACTTTTATTTGTCACCACACAACCACTAACTCCATACAAAAATACTCCATTAAAATCGTCYTTAGGAAGGCTTACATCCTGGGTGTTCTTTGCATAACCCCTGTGGGTGAGGCTGTACCAGAAAATAACCTTTTCCAGCTGACAAAAATAATTTCTAGTGAAGTGAGAAGTTTTGCAGAAAGGCAAACCAGGAAACAGCTCCCAGCAACAAAGTATTTATTAAAAATATCCATTCTGCRAGCCTTGTCGAGTCCCACAAATTGAAGTCATTTGGCAAGTTAATAGCATTGGCAACTGCTGTCCTTACAAACCATTAAAACAGAGCATTTTCCTTCTATTATTTCTCATCACTTCTGATTTTTTTTCTATTTTTATTATTACTATTATTATTATTTTTTTAAGAACACTTACCTTTTGTTTTTACGAAACTAGGAACTGAATGCGTTTGCTCAGCACAAAGTCCTTCTGCTAAAAGTGTCTGATTAAAAAAAAAAATAAACAGCTCTGCCATCATTCAGACCTGCTGAAGGCTGGATTCCGGTATGACACAACTGCCGCTCCTGAYGGGCTATTCATTTGCAGCATCACTGGAGGTAGCTCTCTTGACACAAAATGATACTAGCATGTTCTTATATTGGTCTTAATTCTTAAGAACAAGCACTACTGGACAGCTATCTACCGCCCAGATAGCTGTCTGATAGGTATGATATATAGAAATGATAGATAACTAGATGCAAAGAGTAAAAAATACCCTTTAAATTTGCCACTCTAGTGTTTCTGTTCCTAGAATCATGGAATTGCTGAGGTTTGGAAGCACATCAGGAGATTATCCAATCCAGCCTTAAACAATTCACATTCCCCTATTTCACTGAAAAATGCCGACCTAGATTCACTCAATACGACTTTTTCCTTAATTCAGTTTGAGTAATGCAACAAAAACATCCCCAAATGAGCAGACACTTTGTTTACTGCAATTTCTTTGCCCTTTGTGAGTGTGACAACTAATCAACAACCGATTGCTTCTGTTTTGCAGTTCCCAGTGGAGCAGGTTAAAATCTAATGCGCTGCAAGCCTAGTCTTAATTATCCAGGGTAATGGAGTGGAGAGAGCCCACATAAAAGTAAAAAAGGCAGATAACTAAACACATTCAGATGGGCTACACGAACAAACAGTGAGGACATAAGAGAAACAAGAGAGAAAAGTCAGCCCATTCATCCCAGAAGCAGCAGCACGTCAATCAGGCTGCCCCAGATCTTTATGCTCATGCTATGGGTCTAGAAACAAGCACTGGACACGGCAGCACAAAGGGCAGTGCTCTCACTTCTGGGCTTGGCTGGGAGCAATCCCACTTCTCTGGGTTGGATCTATTCTCAGCAGTCAGGTCCACAGTCCCCCCAAACCCAACCATCCCCATACTAGGCTGCGCGTGTGCATGAAACCAAGCTCAAGACTGGCTGGCTCCTCTGCTCTTTTCTGGACCCAGTCAATCAGTTTCGGAGCAAACGTGGAGCAGGTGGTAGCATCCAGTATCAGGTCTTCTGCAGCAAGCACTTCTGTCCCTGGTCAGTGGTGACCAACTGCCTTTTTGCTGCCTCTTGCTCCAAACCGGGCATTATGGTGCATGGAAATGCCATGGAGGAAGAATGAAATGTGAAATAAAGAACATTACTTTCACTAATAATRAGAATACCAAATGAGGGTGCCAAATCTATAACAATTGTACTTTTTGCAGCAGTTTCAAGAGTTTTGATTCACCTTCACAATCTTTAAAAGATTCTCCAAGCACCAAGTTTAACTTTTACACTTTGCCTGTGTTCAGGGTGATGGACTAAGGAGTTCCCCACCTTTTCCAGTCAGATACAGCACTACTCTATTCTAGAGCTAAATCACCATGCAGCACCGCTCAGTACATCCCTCAATTCAGTACCAAGCTATCTGCACAGCAGCAGATTGATGGTTTTCTTACACGAACTAAACAGTTTGGGCTAGAAGTTGCCACAGAAAAGCCAGATCTCATTTTAATTCACATGTAAGATATAAATCAGTGGCCTTTCCTTAAAGGTTTGTCATTGTAACTGAAAGCTTGAAAAAGGTCAAGATATTCATCTTACTGCTTTAAATTCTAATGATAGAGGAGAGAGACATTTCTTAGCGTAAATATTTACATATAAACATACTTTATAATGCACACACCTCTCCAATCTTAAAATATCCCAGCTTATGTGCAAGCATAAGAAATACTGCCATAGAGTCACAAGTGAATGGAGCAACATACTGCGAGTCTGCATTGACCTAAGATGTGGATCTGAATAGAAAAATAAAATTATTGGATATAATGGGTCCTGGCAATTTTAGCTGTGCTCCTTCTGCACCAAAATAAGCATGTTAAGACTAATTGGCAATGTAAGCTGCAAGAGGTCTCCGGATTGAGAAAATGGTAAACAAAAGCTAATCTATCAAATTTAGCAGGAGGCACATTATCACTGCAGAAAAGCAGAGAAATAGAATSATTTGTACTGTTCTATTGCATTAATAATTATTTCACAGAAACTAGAGACTTAAAATATTCATTTCCTGCTTCTCACTGCACCCAATAAAGAACAGGCTTGTTGCACTCTGGTGTTGTACATGCATTATGCTTTGCACAGAGGCACTTTCAAATTTAGGGAGAACAAATTTGACACATCTGGAACTGTGCACAACCCACATAGAGACAACACAACAGCAGGGCTGTCCGAGGAGTTACGTGAAGCCCAAAAGTGGTGGTTTCAGTTAATATTTGCCTTGTGCAGAGGTGGTCTCATGCAGCACAGTGCAGGAAGAATCTGCCTGATGGAGAGTCTCAATGAACCCAACAGTCCCCCGTCATGCTGGTCTTGCTCTTCCAGCACATTAGTACACACTGGGCACAGTTGATCTCTATTCACGACTCCTGGTGTAAAGAGGGTATTCAACATTCAAAAAAATTGTGTCATAATTGGCCCATCAGGCTACTTGATTCCYGCTTTCAACTGGGAGAGCTACATATTCATTGCACTTACTGTCTTTGTTATAAGCACTGTCCATAAAAAAAGTGAGAAAGACAAAAATCTGAAGTGCCTTAAAGAGAGGCAGCCGAAGAACAGGGGAGTAAGAGCTCTCTCTTCTCCACAGAAATGGCTCATGGGGTAAAGAGAATTTAAGATACAGCGAATTTCTAACTCCTACCATCTCATTTGATTTTGAAGCTTGCTCTTAACCAGTTGAGTTCCATGAATCAGAAGTTCCTGGCACATGGGCAACTTTTAGTCAATAAATGGTGGGAACCAGCGTCAAGAAAGGATTAAGTCCCTTTCCTTTTTCTTTTATAGCCTTCCAGAAATCTCCCTTCTGAATTCAACCCCTCCCTTCTCTCCACATCCCACATCCAGCGGGGTTTTACGGGAGCCCAAAAGCATTCATGTTTAATTCTCTAACAGAAAAGCAAAATAAAAGGCTGACTGATTAAAAATTAAGGACCTAAGCCTTTTCTCCCTTTCTGATAAAAAAAAAAAATATCATTTTTATGGGACCAAGATAATAACTACTGTCTAAAGGTTATCAGTAAATTGCAGGGATAGTCAATGTGATGGGGAAGCATTTTCTCCTGCAAAATTAATCTATTTAATATCAAGTGCCAGATTTATCTTCTCCTTCTGACAGTCCGTGCAGAAGTGAAGAACCTGAATTGAACCTGCCCTCCTCTAGGACAAGACAGAAGAAGAGAGACAATTGTTCTAGTTTCAGTAATACCACAAGAATCAGCAGGAATATCCAGAGACAAACGGTACTTGCATATGGCACATATCTTACCAAGTCATTTAAAAGTAAGGAGGAGGGAGGGAATCGTTTTCCTCCCATTCTCCTAACTTATGAAGAGCTTGATTCAAAACGTGAAATATGAAAATATATGAAATATACTCAAGGACTTGTAAAAGGGAGGGTGCAGATGATGTATGCAAAACAGTTTGGGACAGGGAAGCTATGCCCATAATCCAGGTAGCAATTTAAATGTAGATTTATTACTGACAAAATTCCATCAAAATTTGTTCTCAGCCTGTGGGGGACTGAGTCTCCCTGCACCACTCCATCGATTTCATTACTGAAGTGCTGCACTAATGAGCCAGGCTCTGTGTGTCCATTGTACTATTATAATGGATTGTATTTTGTTACGTGGACCATGAAATGTAGCAGAGGAAAATACATCCATTTGCTTTTTGTTTCCCTGCCTGCTTTAGTGTCTGCATTAGCACAATCACTCTTGAAATAAACATTGCACATKGCTTTGTTTCTCACTGATGAAGATTCATACAATAGTGTCAAGGATGATCCCTATGCAGTTACATTTAGAATTTTCTTTTCATCCCTACACAGTCTGGGGACAGCAACTGAATTAATTCAGGGTTTCATAAGCTGTAGGGTTTAATCAAACCTGGACCACCTGGAGAGGTTTTTACTCACATGGGGCATAGAACATGACAAGGGTGTGCTTCTTCTTCTTCAAGGACTCCCTGAAATCTTCTCCAGCAAGATGGATCACACTGGTTTGCTTTTCTTCCCATGCGGGCTCAGGCGGAGGTGGYGCTTCAGGACTAGAAGAGATGCGGAAGGAGATGGGTTTGAAAGTGTTTTTGAAAGCTTGCAGAGAGGCACTGCAACCCACGAGGGAACAAAGGGAGAATAACCCTCCAGGGAGTCTCTGCAATAGGAAAAAACATGCTCAATATTTCCAAGGCCACGTAACAACAAAAAAATGTTCTATATTAATTCCTGTAAGCCGGTTAAACCATTTAAGTGAGCCTACTCAGGAATATCAGACTGCAGAATGGAGATGTCCTGTATTGCATCTGTTATCTGGAAGAACATTGCTCCAATACAAGCATGTCCATAGGTATGAACTATGACCAGAAAGTGGTGGTGGGGCAGTGTCCAAAGGCAGCTGACACAGGGCAGCACCTTTCATTCRGCCACTGACTGCACACTCTTCAACGCCAGCAAGCAAACTTTTGTGGAGAATTTCATGTCCTTCTCTTGAATTCAAATATTGAAGTTTAGATACAGAAATTAGCATCGTTCCATTTGGAAGACTGGGGGCAACTGAACTGGAATATTTTATCCTGATAAAGAGAATGTCAGGYTTTCAATTATGACTGCACATACTGACTAGATCAGAGGAACGCTGCACATCTAGAGCAGCTCTAACAAAACTTCTGCTATTCACCAGCTCACAGACTTCTCTCTGACTCATTAAATTCATTCCTGCTGTATCTTAAATAAGTGATTACTTATATAAAAGCATCAGAACRGAGCCAAGGTATAAAGACCTTCGTAAGTTGCCTTGGTAATAAATTAGCTTTTCAGACTTTCCTGTCACTTTGAATGACACCATTTTAAGTTGGATCAGGGACATAAAAACTGAGTGGAGAAAACCTCAAATTTCAGAGTTTTATTCAAGGTCCTTTGGTGGACCATGCCACCATATTCCCCATCAATCGCCATTTGCTCCTTGTTAGCAAGAAGAACTAGGACAGCTGGTGTGAGCTGCCACATGGGCACAGCTGGTGTGGGCTGCCATCGACCACAGTAGTCATGTGTGGGACTGACTCTCACTCAGGCGGGCCTGAAACCAGCCCCTCTCTCCTGCTCACAGAACAGCAGCCTTGTGTGGAGAACAGACCCCACACAGAGTGGGGACCGAAGCTGAAACTTGCACCTGTGTGACTAGACCGCTCACTTGGAGAGGTTTTCTGGAAACATCATTTTAGTTCCACCTYGCAGCCCAGATACAGCCCTTTTCCCATCAGTTTCAGCAGTGCTGTGACAGTTTTACCCCAGATCTGCAAATAAGGAGCCTCCTTTACTTATGTCACTACTTGGAAGGGCAGCTGGGCATTAGGGAGGAGACAATCTCTGTTTCTTCCAGTGTTCCTGATGGCCTCAGGCTGTAGGCAGAAGTCTTCCAGCGGCACAGCTGGATCTAGAAGAGGTCACCAGCACTGCCCACTTCATCGCTGCAAACCAATGTGACCACCAACAYGAACATGCAGTGCTAGCCTTGGCGCCTACCCAACACCCATGAGCTAGCACTAAAAACAATCCAGGAAATGTGTAGGGGAAACAGGTCTGTGATTAACATCCATTACTGATGAAGCAGATGGGGGGTGGAAAAATTAAGATTATATTCCTCATATGACCTGTGTTTAATAGTTAAAATGACTTTAAAATGTCATAAAACATAGACGCATTTTTTCATTGAATAACATGGAAAACATGCTATGCTTACAGAACTTAAGTGAATTACATATTTCATTCCCTAATACTTCAGCAGAAYTATACCAGCTATTTTCCTCTTCGAAATGAGATTATTTTTATCTTACTTCAAATATAATTCTGCATATTTTAGCACACCTCCCAGGAAGAGTTGGGAAGTACAAGAAAGGTGCTGTTCTGTTGGTCTCAATGGTTTTGCTTCAGTCTTACAAAACTGGCTGTCTACGCATTGGTTCTGAAATTGCTGTAGAGGGAAAGCACAAGTACAGAATTCAGCAGCTAAATAGTGAATCTGCTGCTTAATATAAAGAGGGAACAACAATTGCTCTGTTTATTTTTCAGAGCCATTGGTATTCCTTCTCCATAGAGAGAGGCTTAGGGTATATTTGAAAAATATTTATTTGGGGAAAGAATTACTGGGACAGCTATGAAAAACCCCACAGCAAATAAAGGATTTGGTTTATTAAAGACCATAATTACCATATATGTTCGTATGGCTTCGGATACTAGAATTCAATTTGTTTTTGTTAGCAAGGGATTTAAGCAGCCGACGAAGCCAGGTTTAAAATTTACTTCCTTGCAAAAGCAATCTTGAGGAGCCAGCAGCCACGAACCTGAACGCAGTCTCAGCCTCTCAACACTTACTTCTGCAGCCAGTCAATGATCTTTGTCTTCGTTCTGAGGTGCGGCAGAGTGTATTTCTCCTCTCCATCCTTAAAATACTTGAGCGTAGGAAATCCYGAGATGTGGTACCTCTCTGCCAGGGCCTTGTTGACGGTAGCATCTACTGCTGCAAGGACACCCGGACCCTGCAAGAGAAACCACCGCCTGTAGGTGCAGCTCAGGCTCGCACTACGGATGCACAGAAAGGCAGAGGGCTGATGCAACAGCAGGAAAGAATATCTAGTACCACTAATATAATCAGTGTGCAACCTRTTATCTCTTTTTCCTGACCAGATTTCCCTGTCCCACTTGGTAAGAACTTAAGAGCTGCTCTTAGGAGCAGCACTCCCTCCCTCCCACCAAATCCATCTACTTCTCCCAGAGAAAGGAGCGCTGTTTCATTATAACTTATTAYATTATAAATCCACTTTTCTCTAATTTGCAGGTGTTTTTACCATCAAGGGAGAAAAGATACTGCTGGGATGCAATTCATTGATTTTTTTTTTCACATCTCTCTCTTTCTACAATTATAAAGGGAATCCACGTAGCTCCACTAAAGATACCTAAAGTTTGGGGGAGATAATTTGGTTTATTTTCCTTCATGGCATATATAGAGTGAGACTGCATCAGTAAGAGTCATCATCATGTTCTTGGGACTCTGTTCTCCAAGCAGTCATGCTGATCGAGCACCTATGATGGAGTGACAGAATSATAAAACCAGGATATCTGAAAGAAACCCCCTTTATCTTTTTCTCCCCAGATCTAACTTATAAATAAACCCCCATATTTCTGCACACTCAGTGTCTTTAAATAATAAGGAAAAAAAAAATCAATGTTGGATTTGATCACATTATGTRTAAGGCCTAGAGCAGAATACATAAACATTTTTCAATTTTGTTTTCATTTAAGACAGAATGTTCTTTCTAAAACTTTGGCAGGGCTCATGCATTAGCGATGAGACTGTACTTTGGAAGCACATTTTGAAGGGTCCTGTGGGAGGATGAGAACAGCTGAGTTTGTTGTAGGAAAAAAAAGACACTTTTATTACTTCAGTTATTTATTACTGATTATTTTAAGGACATAATAAAGAAAATTAGCTTACATCACTGCTTGCATGGAGAAACTCGGCAGCCTTCTCATATTCTGGTTTCATTTTCTTACAGTGCCCACACCCTGYCAAAAAAAGGGAAGATTTATCCAATTAAATTGTACATGCCACAGTTACTCATTGACCCATCCAGTCACTATCAAAATCCAAAGCCATGTGGTAGAGATTTACTAGAATTCAGCATGAGTTTACCYGATTCCTTTTAACATGTTAGTATGATTTAGAATCATTCCAGACTGGTCACCACCATTTAAGCAAAGAATTTAATTTATCAAAAAAATAACAACCCCCCCCCACCACCACCACCACTGCATTCACACCCATGACTTTTCCCTACCATAACACACTACGAACACTCTACCCATCAAGCCCATTGCTTCTAGCTTGCTTTTGGAGAAGACACAGTTATCACCTATTCCCATTTCCAAATCCTTATCTGCATTAAATAGAAACAACACAGACTCTCACATGATTTGTTCAGTTAAGCTGAGGCTTATACTAGCACAGTTTAATTAGGAAATGTAATTTGAATAAAACGGCACTGATAATAAGCGCTACTTTATATTGGTGCAGCACGCCCCTGTAGCAAGGAATTGCACTGATTTAATCACATCAGTGTAATTACACCAGCACATATGTTCCCAACATAAGCAAGGCCTGTAAAACTGAGATAATGCTGCTCTCCTGCTTGTGCAAAGTTCTCCAGAGATCTCCCATTATTTCATGGCTAAGTGCTGACATTACAATAAAGTAAAATGAATGCATGAGTGAGAAAAACAGACTTGAAATAAGTTATTTGGGTGTAAATGAAACTGCTTTCATCTGGTGCAATTCCTCCCGAGCTTGAAAGCGAGCGGCACGCTCACGAGCGCGACTGCAGCTGCAAAGCCAAGCTGCGCTTGGGCAGCCGCACCGTGATCCCCGCAACCCTTCGGGGCAGCCTCCACCATCACCTTCCTGCAGCTCCTTCCATGCTGCCAAACRCCACCGCGGCACCCGCAGGACCGTGCCAAGGAGGATGGGGAGCGCGGGCAGGGACCCAGGGCTGGCTCCCGCAGGTAGAGGTGACAAGGGGGACACCGGGTGCTCTCCTGTCCCGTCGYGACGCGGCCCTCACCGGGCTCTGCTCCCGAGTGCAGCGCTCTGCTTTGTGCTCCCTGGCTGGAAAATGTGCTCGAAAGCCCAGATGTCACTGAGCTTTTCAAAGACATATCTGAAAACATGGTCAGAAATCTGTTTCTATAGAGCTTCAGCCACTATTTTTATACCATTGTTTAAAATAAAATAAACCCAAGACTGTTTCTCAGCACTGCTTTGATTCCCGCTAATGGGATGAACGGCACAGGCAGCAGACACAAAGCTAAACCTGAACTCAAGCAGACAAGCATGCTTCATAGAGCACAAGCTGAGGAGCGCTCACCGCCTCGAAGTGACAGGACGTGAAGGTGCAACTTCCCTGGAGCAAAAAGGGACTTGGGCAGAGCTCCGGCCAYGACAGCACATCCCCAAACACTTCCATGGCACGTTTATAAGCACGGTCACAGCTGCAACTGCAGCCCTGAACATACTATTGCATCAAGTCTATAAACCTGACCTGAGAATTAAGGAAAATACCCCAGTGGTTTGTCCCATACTGAACTCTGGTTTGAGACTCTGGTTTTGAACTAGCTGAGAACTGTGCTGGTTAGTACAGCAATTGCAATTTTAAAACATCCGCATTTTTCTTGTGAGCAATACCAGGGTTTTCAGAGCAGAACAAGGCGACCTCAGAGCTGGAGGAGGCCCATTTGCTCTTTGCCTAGTGGGGAGACCTCACCAGGACCAGCCTCAGGGGCAGCTCCAAAGGCAAACTTGGAAAGAAGCTGGAAAAGACTGAGGACTACTTACAGTCTCAGTACTGCTCTTCATTAAGAACATAAAAGAGAGGAGCAAAATGATTTATTTGCCACCCTCATAAAACTTGCATGCCTATGGGTGTGGAACAAGCTCACAGTTCACTTCAACATCTGCCCAAAGCGATTTACTTCTCCTTTTAGGAGTAAGGATCTTTATCCATTTTGTGCTTTTCCTTATTTCTAATAAGGATGAGGTTGACTACCTCAGCTCAGGCACCTGGGAACTTGACTGAGTTAGTTAGCTCAAATGCGTTAGAAGAGAATGATTTTTTTGCAGGAGTACTTCTGCCTTGGTAGACGTTACAGGGTATGCTCCCCGATCAGAATAAACCTCAAGCTACTCGCTCTTGCTTGCTGCATGCACACATGGCCTAAATTCTATCCTATAGTCATTCATAGCAGATTTGATCACACAGAAGTAACAGATCAGTCCAAGCTTTCACCATATCTATGCACTGAGGAAGTGCCTGTGTGTGTATGGGGTGAAGTCAGGTGCACTTTGCCACAGAAACTAAACAATCCAAAGCATTTGAGAAAGATATTCTACGTATCATAGTGCTAGGTTCCTTCATGAACTTCATGCTGATACCTTCATAAAGCTTCCTCACTCAAGAGGAAGATCTTCCTCTTAAGAGGAAGTAAGAGGAAGTGAAGATGTTTAAACACAATCTGAAGCTCTCCAATCTTTCTCATGCAATGCTTTTTATACCAATGACAGAAAAGAGTGTGATATTCTGAAGTGGAAAAAAAGCTATCACATTCCACCGAATCTCAAATGGGAAAACAAACACCTAGAGCTTCTCCCATAGCAAGAATAATGTACAGATAAATAGATGGCTTCTACTGGCCTTCTTTAAGAAATTATTGTCATTTCCTTCTTCTGCATTCTGCTGTCTGCTTTCATCTACTACTGAGGGGAGGAGAGACTTGAGTTAAAAGTCAGATCCACACATTGCAAATCAATTAATCTGCCCCATGATTATTTATCCTGCCTTTCAATAATCTTCCGAGTATTACCATTACATTTTCAAGGCCAATGAAAAGGCCATTTAAAAGAAACACAAGGATTGCCTTTCCTTTGAACGGTACATTACGCTGTTCAGCAGCAGCTGTACACCTCTGTGCTAACCTTCTCAGCTTATATTCTCTATTTGTTAAAAGGGAAAAAAAAAAAAAGAACAGGAAAGTAACAACAATCCGTAGTTCCTTAATCCAGATACTCCAATGTGCTGCTTAAGAACTGCCGGGATCGTGGATGGAGGCCAACAGCTTTTGCAGCAAGTGTCTTTGATAGGTGTATTCTTAGGAGACACACTACTGTGGTAAGTGCATCCAGGCATTAAAAGAAAAAATGTGGAAAAGGGAAGCGATTTGTTCGATCCTGGAGCAGAAAGGAGGTTACAATTAACAGCAATGCAATKCTCTGCAGCCTGCCAGGACCGCTGAAGCTCTCCAGGTCAAGACAGAGGAGAGGAGAGAGCTGCAAGTTGCAGCCCCATTCCCTGCTAGCAGGGCATAGGGAGCTGCTCCCAGGTGTAGGTGAGAGCTGATCTCCATCCCAGGGGATGAAACCCGGCCAGGGCTCAGTAGACTCACTGGACAACTCATTTCACCTCTCAATCCATCATTTTGCTCTGCTCACACAGAAGGACACCCAAGTCTGCAAGGCTCCACAGTGCCCAAGGGGAAAAGAGTACATGGAGCAAGTGTAATATTGCTACAAGACAGGAAAAAAGTCAAAGTTTACAAAAATTAGTACAAGGACATCTGGTAGAAGACAGGCTCTTGCTAATTGCTTTTAAAAGAGATGCCTAAATGGAATAAGAGTTGTTCCCCAGCTCATTTACAGTCACCATTCTCGTTTGCACTACGTAGCCAGCAGATAAACAGTCCCCTCCTTCCACATGGCTGCTGTCACGCAGCTCAGCTGCACCTGGCAGCGGTGGCATGTAAAGGTCTCCAGGTCACTCCAGTGCAGAGGGTGTCATCTCCTACCAGGGGACACAGCTCAAGGGGCACACGAGCGAGGTCACATCAGAGTGCAGAGCGCGATGCTGCCTTCGCAGGGCGAGCAGCAGAGCCAAGGATGGGCAATCGAACACACCGAGCAGCTCACACCTGGGCAGGACTCGCTGCAGGGGCTACAGCCACTGCACAGATGGGACACAAGTAAAGGCAACTCTAATTTCCACTTTCAAACCTTAAATTAAAAGGTTGGGTAGCAGTTTCTCTTCCAGCAAAAAAAAATTGCGCAGACATCAGTACCGTCCTAGAAGCAGCAGAGAGATAAGTCGAAGTTATTGGCCCACCACAGTAGACAGTCGTTCAAGGCAGTTGACCACTATTATGAGAATCTGAGCATCTCAGGTCTTCCTCTCTAGGAAGAGTGTAACAACAAAGGCACTGCCACGCTCTCCTTCTCACCTGTAAGGTGTATCTTGTAAAGGAGAGTGTAAAAAAGCGTATACGCTTTTCTCTAGGACATCTTCCCTGGCTTAAGGACTTCAGGGACTGAACTGAGTCCCTTGCACAGAAAAAACAGCTTTCACTGAATAGAAATGCAGATTTTCTTCCCAAATAAACAACTGTATGTGCTCACCGCAACRTGTTTGGCACCACTGTGGAGATTCACAGAGCGCAGTTGCTCCAAACTCTTGCAGAAGTGAGCTACTAACAAACACTCCTATCATTAAAAATATTGTTTTCTCCAAAAAGAACAAGCAGAAAAGGACCAGGCACCATCTAGGCTACTGCATATGCAGAACACATTGCTGTCTCCAGAAGACAAATCTCTCTGATTCTTTGTCACTTATTGTTTACTTCTTTCAGGTTATTTTGGCTACGTAAACAAACACGGAGCTTTCAGTCACGTCTTCTCATCTCAGCACAACATTGGCTGAGGATCAGAAGCGAAGGAAGGTACGTGACAAGCAAGAGATAAAGGCCAACATCCAGGTACCTGCAGATAAGGAATTTCTGACACGAAATCCTAGAGACAAACTAAATGCAAATAAAGGTTTTAAAGAATCATTCAGTTCTTGCTATTGGTAGGCTGCTTTGATACTGCTATYATGTACCACCTATTTACTGTTATCGTGCCATCTCCATGTTCATCTACGGCTGCATACCACAAATACTTCTATTAACCTGATAGGAAAACAAATCTGAAG